CCTGGGAATCAAACTCAGGACCTTGTGCTTCCCAGGCAGGTGCTATGCCTCTGAGCTATATCCCTGGCCCCCTGACTTTTGAAAAAGTTTTTAATTTTTATTAATCCATGTCTACAGTACATAATGATTACATTTATCATGGGAAGTTGACACATGTACATAACACATTTTCATTCTTTTTACATCTCTTCTCCACCCTCTTTCTCTTCCCTCCCTGGTCCCTTTCTCATTTGCAAAAAAAAATTTCTCTGCTGGTTGAGTCTTCACTTGATCTTAGCCAAAAGGCCGAGAAGCGATTGCTAGTTGAGTCTTGTTCGAGAAAATAATTGTCCAGGTGCTAAGGCACTAAAATTATGCCAAATGAAATATATTTTCAATTTAGTTTTTGTTTGGTTTTTCAAAAGTGAAATCTTCAGCATCCAAATTTCAGCCCACTATTTTTCCAAGGACTGTATTTTTATCTTTGGAGTATTTTACCAAGTGATTTTATAAGCAAAACCCTTCCAGTGAAGCTGTCCTGGTGAATGTCTGGAATGTTATGCCAAATATAGATGCCCTTGAACTGAAGACCTCAAAATTTTTTCCATTCTGGTACAGAATGTAAATTTATATAGTACAGTTAAAGCAGGAATGTTATCAAGAGAGGCTCCTTAAAGCATGAGATGTTCCCCAATTGTAGAATTTCAAATCATATCTAAAGATCATTTGAGCTCTCTTTTCTAATCTATTCACTTCCTTTCTTGTTTTGATAGTGATACGTTCCAACATCCTTTCATTTGCAAACTCTGCTACCAATAACTGTAATTTCACTAAAGCTTCAAAAGCTGATGTGTTTGCTATTCCATTTAGTAAATTCTTAAATACTTCCAACTAATTTTAAGTACAATGCGAGCCAAATTTAGGAAACTTATGTATAACAGTGCTCAGTGTTTTTGGTGGGCACTTAGGTTAATACATAAAGTAGTTGTTCAAACACTTTAGCATTTCTAAAATCCCATAAATGTCAGGCAGGCCAGCCAGGCAAAATGGAGCAGGCCTGTAATCTCAGCTCTGGGGAGGCTCAGAGAAGAGGACTGTGAGTTTAAGCCAGTCTGGACTCCATTGCGAGATCCTGTCTCCAAAAGAAAAGCCAAAAAACCAAAAAAACAAAAACAAATAACCCTCCAAAAAACCTAAAACCCAAAACCAAATTAGACAGGAATATGAAAAAGTGTGCAATGCAATTCTACCGTAAGTCAGAATGTTCAGCATTAGCTCTGTAGTTCAGTAACGTGTATTAAATCACACTGTCCACTGTGTCAATTAAAGCTTTTTAAAAAAATCACAGCTTTTTGGATATGGCTATTAGTAATATGGTCACCATATCAGTTTGTAGTACGCTTCTGCTCCACAGCTGCACAACTGTTTTTATTGTGATATTATGCTTCACCAAAACTTAAATAGAATTTTCAGTTGCATTCACATAATATTGGATGGAAAGAATTGACATCTGAAAACTCTCTTTTGATAGTATGAATTGGCTGAAAAAATTGAACCCAATATGGCAATGAGATTTTTCTAATTGAAGTAAAAGATGACATTACATAAAACTGGTGACATTAATACTGAGCCTGTTAATGCAGAAAACATATAACATGTCTCATTTGACTTTTTCTGCAGGCACAACAATACTTGAAATTTAAAACATATTAAAATATGTTTAAAGGAAGAGTCATTTGATTTCAACGAAAGCCATTTCCAGGGTGATATGCCGGTGTACCTCTAGAAGTTTAGTAGCTAATGTTCTGCCTGTGCTTCCTTCAAATAACTGCTGACCATGGGTTCTGATGCCTTCTGGGCAGGGTTAGTCTTGGGTTTCACGCTGTCAATGGTATCATTATGGCCCCTGTGGGAAGTGAATGACAAATATCAATGTACATTCTTTCTTTTTTTTTCTTTTCGTTTTTTGTTTTGTTTTTCTTCCGGTACAGGGAATTGAACTCACAACCTTGTGCTGGCCAAGAAGGCGCTGTGCCACTGAGCTAAACCCCCAGCCCCGATGCACATTCTTTCTGAGAAGCATGTTCATTGTAAACTTTTTACACTGTATTTTTAGCACATGATTTTTCATGAAATATTCATTTGTATTGATCTCATTGCTATCAAAATGATTCATTGTTATATAAGCATGCAATATCAGTAAAACGGATAGCTGTAGATTTATGTTTAGCAAACAGCAAAACCACCATGTAAGTACTTAATCTCTAGACTTCCTCATATATATTATACCAGGATGTCTCCAAGTCTCATGTTTCTCATGCATCCGCCATCTCCCAGGGTCTGGCATTGGCTGTGACATACTGGTGGGCACGCTAGCTGGCCATCAAAAGAGCAGCTCCATGCTCCTGAAAGCTGAAGGAGTGAGGAGCACCTGGTCACTCATGTCCCAGTGCTCTTAGTTTTATCAGTGAGTGCTCCGTCTCAATTCTAAAAATGAGAGGTGTTAGTTCTGTATCACACAGAAAGGGTCATGAGAAGAGATCGAGTGTCACCAACAGTCTGTCAGATTCAACCAATGGTTGGAGGAAGCCCTGTGTTCCCCTGACCTGCATCTCACTCACTAGGAAGGATGACTTGGTAGGGGCTAGAAATATAGAGCATGGTGTCTTAAATCTACTTCTGCTATTGTAGTGCAACAATTGCTAATTATACTTTATTAGGAGTTGAAAAATCTGGAATAAATGTGAAACCAGAAGGAACAGGCATAAACTAGGACTGTCCCAAACAAAGTGAGATGTACAAAGATGCTCTGCTGTTACTCACCAGCACTATAGGATCTAGCCACAAAACTGGACACTTCAAAATTTCTTCACTTTGTGTTCTTATAATGTGGCACCTGATTGAATAAACTCTCCATGCCAGACTATGCGGTTTAATATTTTTTAAGTAAAGGAAGCAAAACTAATATTTAATGGGGATGGAATCCTATATAGGAATTACCAAAGAAAACTTCATATTTAGATTGGAAAATTATGAATTTGTAAAGCAAGTAGGGAGTTTGTTTTATTGTCTGTCAGATTTCCTGTTTCTGGACATAATACTCAACGTCCACAACTTAAAGGAAGAGAGACTTAATTTGGTTCACATTTCACAGGGATTCAGTCCATGGTCAGCTGGTTCCAAGGCAGGAAAGGTATGGAGGAAAGGTGTGGTGGAACAAAGCTGAGTGGTTCATGGAGAACAGCATCAGAGAGGACGGGATGGGGATCAGCTGTAGCCCATAAGGACATGCCCATATGACCCACCTGCACACATCTAGAAACGTGCTCCACCAATCCCCTGGGTGGACCCCAAAGCCAACTGGGTTGACACTTGCACCTTAACCACCACACACTGTGTCTATTCCCATGCTTTCTGGGATACTGTGCCATTATAAATGCTGTTTACTTAAAACAATTAAAAACAGTGACAATATCAAATGCTACTGAGATAATGGAGAAAATGAATATCTGGTAGAACTGATCTGGAAAATATTTTGGCAGTTTCTTGTGAAATTAAACGCATATTTACCATATAACTCATCAATGTACTCATGACCGTTTATCCCAGAGAAATGAAAACTTACATGTAAAAAGAAGTGTACAAATGTTCAGATTAGTTTTATTTGTAATAGTCCCAGGCCAGGACTAACACTAACGGTGTAGCAGTGGTTTACACCTATGGCACATGTGCCGCAGTGGGCTGTGTGTATCATGCAAAGCTCTAAAAGGTTTGTCATCACTAGAGTAATCTGTGCTAGAACCCTACCACAGATATCATGCAGCAAGAAGATAATGGACCACCACACATGCAACAAATTAGGTTGCTCTCAAGGGCATCGTGCTAAGCTTAGAAAGCTAATCTCAAAATGTCACATGCTCCATGAATGATTCCGTTGGTATGGCATTCCCGCAGGGAAGAACTTGTGGATATGTAGAATACACTGATTGCCAGTGGTTGGGGACAAGAGTGAGCACAGCTGTAAAGAAAGAGCACCAGAAAGTTTCTCTCTGCCATCATTTTCAATACTGGGATTGAACCTGGGCAAGCCAGGCAAGCACTCCACCACTGGCTACAAGCCCCACATTTTTTTTTTTTTTTTGGTTTTTCTCCGGTACCGGGAACCGAACTCACGACCTTGCTCTTGCCAGGCAGGCGCTTTTGCCGCTGAGCTAAATCCCCAGCCCCAAGCCCCACATTTTTAATTTTAATTTTGAGACAGTCTCTCATTGCATTGCAAAAGCTGGACTTGAGTGTGTGATCCTCTTGCCTCAACTTCCTGAGTACGTACTGGGACTACAAGTGTGTGCAACTGTGTATGCTGACTGTGGCAGTGGTTATATGAACACCCCCGCCCCCCGCATGCACACAAATGTGTGTATGTAAAAGCCAGTGAAATATGACTGAGGCTTACAGGTTATATCAATGTCATTTTCCTTGTTTTGATATAGCTATGTAAGATTATGATTGGAGAGCACTGCATGAAGGGCACACAGGACTCTGCATTTTTTGGCATCATCCTATGAACCTAAAATAATTTCCACATTAAATGTTCAACAAAAATACCAGTGAGCCTTTTATATTGTATCTTATATTTATGATCTCTAGTTGTCTGGAAAGAAAAAGTAATGATCAAATGATTTCAAAGTTCAATGATTTTTTTGCTTCTATTTCTATTTCCTTTTTGTTTTGTAATATGTATTATCAACATAATAATGATGATAATAATGAGGAAATAAAGGTGGATTACGAATGTCAAGGCTGATTGAGATGCAGCTGAAGGAAAGGGTAAATGCTCAAAAGGTACGGTGCTAGGCACAATTCAGAGCACATGGAAAGAGAGGTTGGAAAACCAACAGCTAGTAACTGGATGTCTTATTTTTAATTTTCATTATTTATTTTGTTTTTTGAGACAGAATCTTGGTATTAGTTCAGGTTGGCCTTGAATGTGTAGAGATCCTCCTGCCTCAGCCTTCCAAGTGCTGGGATTACAAGTGTGTGTATGCCACCATGCCCAGAGAGGATGTCTTCCTAAGCCAGGGCACATCACTGGAATCTGTTAAAAAAAAAAAAAAAAAAGACTGATATCTCCAAGATGAGAGAGAAACCTATGTCAAAACTGTTTAGGCTGGCCTTGAATGACAGTCTCAAAGGCTTCCTAGAGTGTACCTTGGGCCACTAACATACCTGGTTCAGTGACATTGTATCCAAGATCATTGTAGGTAGAATATGGATGTGTATTAGGAAGAGGAGACTGGGGTGAATGAGATGCCACAGTCCTACCCAGCTGAGGTACCCTAATAAAGAAAGGGGCCAAATTCTTAGTCTAAAACAGGGAAATTGTGTCTCTCAGAGCAGAGCTGTGAAAGTTCCAAAAGTGAGTTGAAGGCCTCACTGAGTAAATCACTACCTTATTCCGAATTCCGAAGGGTCAAGTTTAGCTTATAACAGGGAAGGATGGAGACTGGACTTTTGCTGGGCTTCACTAACATGAGAGTGTCCACTAAGGAGTTCTTTCAGCTCAGTGGCACTAATCACGTGGCACTCACGCTTGCCCTACCACCGACAATCGCTCATCTTTTTGGGTGTCCACGTATTCATCCTGTGTACCAAGTGGGGAGTGCGCTTCTCCACAGGCACACTGCCACGCCTGTCTTCCCTCTCACAGTCTTTGTTTCACAGGTAAACAGTATAATCTGAGTAATTTTAACTGAACGGAATGAATCTCAGATGTGCTATCCCACTGACACACAGACGTGTTCCTTCCGCAGTGAGGGCAGCCTGCGCATGTGTCCTCATTCTGTGGCCAAATGGAGAAGAGGTTCTCAGACAGGCAGGGGGAGGGATTTTCTTTGAAAGGGCACTCAGATCTTCAGGTCCCTACTCCTTTCCTTCACAGAATTTTGAGTGGCAATTATAATAACACATTTAATCAATTGTGATGGAGAAGCAGCATGCTGTAAATTGAGAGAATTACAGAACTTGGAATAGTTTCTGATGGTTCTTTGGGACACTTTTATGGTTGAACAGTTATTTCCCAGAAGCATGTCTCTGTGAGCTTACCTATTGGTACCAGATAGACAACCTAGATTCACAAATAGTCTACAGTCAAGCATCTCTAACTGTTGGTCACTGATCTAGTCACATATCTGTATCTTTTGATTCTAACCCTCAACTTTTACAGTGACGGGAAACTGGTGCCACAAATACGGTAGGGACAGAGATATCTCAGAACTTGTCTCATATTGTCATTGCAATGCCCTTTCTCCCAGGCTATCTCTTTATTGAGACACTGCCTTTATAAGCTGCAAGACACCAGAGGGCCAGGGGCCTACTAAGAGCCAGAGAAAGAGGACAATTAAAAGTGATACTGCTTTGAAGCAGTGAGGAATGATTGTATTCATTCATTCAGTAAGTCAATCAGCTCATTCAACAAGTATAGTGGTGCCTCAATTCACAAACTTAATTTGTTCTGTGACTTTGAAAAAGATGGACACATTTGTGTTTGTATGGGAAAGATGGCTACAGTTGTGTTTGCCACCTGATGCAGAGTTTGCAAACAAAAGCAAGATTTTGCCAAATGCTTCTGTTTGAGAACCAAACTGTTTGTAAACAAAAGCATTTGTGAACCAAGGTACCACTGTATTTATTGCTACAGACTGTTTTAGGTACCTAGAATACAGAAATAAATAAAACATCCCAAATCCTTGCCACATTCAAATGATAGTAAAAATGAATACAGCACACTTACTATGTCCCTAGGACTGCTCTCCACATTCTGCATGTATTAATTACTGCATCCTCACAATCCTGTGAGGTAGGTGATGTCAATGATCTCTTGCAGGTAAGTAAACTAATGCATAAGGAACAAAAAATAAGTTATTATGGCTGGGCGTATAGCTCAGCAGAACATGAGCCTAGCATGTGCCAGGCTGTGGATTTAATCCCCAGCACAAAACAAAATGAAATAGTAACTTGCTCAAGTCATGTGACAAGTCAATGACAAATCTAGGCTCTACCTATTTGAATTTGGCTATTCCACCTTAAATATTTGCTCCTAACTACTTGATCATCTGATTCTTAAAAAGAGTAGAGCCATTAGCTCTCTCTACTGGGGTGACAAAGAAGACTTTCTCGTTTTTCAAATGAACTGTGTGGAGCACCAAAAGTTAAAATAATAAAACTGAACAAAATTTTGGTGGAGGAGACAGGGATGTGACAGAAGAATGACAGCGAATTCAGATCATAGTCACCAGAGACAGCAGAAACACAGGTGATAGAAGCCTGTGCCCAAATCCCTCTCCCTGCCCTCCTCAGTCCCACTATACCGTGCCTGTATTTTGCACAAAGCCTCCAGAAAGAGTTGAAGCAGAAGCACAAAAACCTAGAGAATATGTCTAGGTTAGTGCTGATGGAATGTGTGTATTTTGGGGAAGTCTCCTATCCTTTGAGAATTAACAGGTACTGTGGCAGTCTTCCGTGATTGATGGGACAGGGTCTTAGGTATGAAGGAAGGGGCAGGTGAAGGCATATTGCAAACATGCAAAACATCCTTCCATAATTCTTTGTCCTGTCATGACTGCATTATAGAGCTACAGATACTATCAGAAAGAGGGTTTGTAGCTCTTGGACCAATAGTATGTATGCACAAACATCTATTTTGCTGATTTCTAAGGGCTATTGTGGCAGCACTGGGGAAATTGCCTTCTAGTGACATCACTATCTCATTATTTCCTGAGAAAACAGAATAAATACTACCCCTCCTGAAAGAAACTGCCCACGGATTGGGGGTGGGTAATGCAGTTCAGAATGCATGAACGAGGCCCTAGGTTCCATCTCTAGCAGTGGCATCACCACTACCACAACAAAAAAAGCAATGTGTCTAAACTGCCCAGGATCAAAGAGTAGGACTCAGGCTAGGGATGTGGCTCAGTGGTACAACACTTGCCTAGCATGTAAGAGACCCGGCGTTCAAAAGAGTGGCAGTTCCAAGAGGGCGTGAAGTAACATACTTCAAACTCTGAAAGAAAGTAACTGCCAATCTAGATCACTATAAACAGCAAAACTATCCTTCAGAATTGAAGGAGATATACTTTCCAAAATAAGCCCAAACTAAGGAATTCATGACCAGTAAGTCAGCACCACAGAAGATACTTGAAGCAACACTACCTTCAGAAGAGAAAGAATAGAAAGACAAATGTGTATTAGTAACCAAATAAAACATCACAAATATAACAACATGGCAAAAATTTGTATATACAGTGATCCCTCACCTATTGCAGGAGTCACGTTCCAGAGACCCCCACAATAGGTGAAAATCCACAAAGTAGTGGTGTTTACTGTTAGAAGCCTTAGAAGGAGCAGGACATTTGGGTGGCATTGTAGGACTTGAAATAAATTCAAACTTCTATGAAAATTTCACAAAAATACAACACCACAGAGCAACACTGTGTGCAACAACCAGATGTCTATGTGAAGTGGACAAGGAGAGATGCTGAACGTATGGGCACAGTGTGGGACAGCAAACAGAGCAATGCCATCATCACTGAGTCAATCAGTGCCCAGGTTACAGAACACAGTGCTGTGGGTGGTTGCCTTCCATTGCATCAGCCATTCGTGTGCCACATACAATCTCATGTGGGCAAACTTGTGTAAGCAGTAGTGGCATACTGCATTTCCACTGTGTACAGTATGATATTCATCCACTGATGAAATACATACTGTACTTTATTTCAATTCAATATTCTTTTAATGTTTGAATGAATATTTTTAATATTTTATTGTTTTAGATTTTTTAAGCCAAAATAATTAAAATCATGAGTATTATATAAATACCTATATACTGCAAAATCCTGTGATATAGCAAAAACTCCACAATACAGAATTAGATATATTTTTTAAAAAACCCCATGATACAGTGAAGCCACAATAAGTGAACCTCAATAAAGTGAGGGATGACTGTAATTTTCAGGAATAACCTTGAAGTAACTGGCCTTAATTCTCTAATTAAAAGACACAAACTGTCAGATTGGATTAAAAAGGAAGACCCAACTATAGTTGTTTGCAAGAAACACATCTCACCCACAAAGACATACACAGAGTGAAAATAAAAGGATTAAAAACAATATTCTATGTAAATGGACTCTGAAAGTAAGCAGGAGTAACCCTACACAAATCTGACAAAATAGACCTCAATTCAAAATTACAGAAGAGACAAAGAAAGTCACTACATATTGGCAAAGAGAACAATACACCAAGAAGATGTAAGCATTATAAACACCTATGCACAAACACTGTACCCCCAATTTCATAAGAAAATATTACTCAACATAAAGGGAGAGATGAATGCTAATACAGTTATATTGGGTGATGTCAGTACCCCATTTTCAAAAACAAATACAGTAATAGGACATTGTCATAATTTAGATCTCAAACGTCTCTCATGTCTCCTATGTCGGAAAGGGACTGAATCATGGTGTACAATAGATAGATTGCTCTTAGAAGGTGGGGCCAGGTTGGAAATGGGTCACCAGGGTGTGAGTTAAAAAGCATATTCTTGTCCTGACATCTTTGTCTCTGTCTCTGTTTCTTGGCTGCCATGAGATGAGCAGCTGTCTTCCACCAGACCCTCTCACTGTGGCATTTCTCCCTTGAAGCCAATGAAATTTGGACTGAACTCACTGGAAACTGTGAGCCAAATCAGCCCCTCCTTTAAGTCATTGGTGCTGGGTATTTTATACTATCAATGGGAAAATGACTAACATAGCCATCAAGACAAAAAAAAAAAAAGAAAGAAACATCAGAAGTAAATAATACTGTAGATCAAATGGACTTCAGAGATACAGACGTAAGAGAACAGAGCGTCCCATCTGACAACAACAGAATACACACTCTTTTCAGCAGCTCATGGAACTTTCTCCAAATAGGTCATATTTTAGGCTATAAAGTATATCTTACAAATACAAAAAAGTA